AAATCATCCCAATTAAAAGAACCAAAGACTTAAACTACTTCAGTCTGTGTGCATTGAATTTATTTAATACACGAGTTTCACAATTTGAGTTGAATTACTGAAATAAATGAACTTTTCCATGACATTCTAATTTATTGAGATGCACCTGTATACAGGCCAGTATCAGATGTTTTGGCACTGATGATCCTGACAGAAGCGATGCCTGACACTGGAGGGTTCTGCATGAGAGCCATCCTACCCTCCCAAGAGTTCACCCAGTACAGCCTCCCATTGTAGTACAGCACCTGTGTCAGACAGGACATTGAGGTCGGCAGATGTGGTGGTTTATTGTGACTGAATCTGAATACAGCAGTTCTCGCCCTCTTGGCTTGGACAGCAGGAGTTCCTGGAGCTGCGTAACACCACTCCAGGGTGAAGCCCTCTGAGGCATGTGTGTTATACGTGCAGGTCAGCTCAGCCGACGACCCCGACCGGACAAACACTGAGGGCTTTACCACAACTGCCTGCCATGACCTTACTACATCTGTACAAAGAGAACATATCTATACCTTGTGACAGTAAAGGCATTTAGAATGTTACAAAAGATTTCTATTTTTAAATAAATGCTGTTCTTTTAAACTTTCATAAAAGGAAAAATCCTGAAAAAAGTATCAGTTTCCACAAAAATATTAAGCAGCATGACTGTTTTCAACTGTTCCATTGATAATCATTAGAGTGATTTCTGAAGGATCATGTGACACTGAAGACTGGATTAATGACTGCTGAAAATTCAGCTTTGTCATCACAGGAATAAATTACATTTTCAAATATATTAAAACAGAAAACAGTTATTTTAAAATGTAATAATATTTCACAATATTACCCTTTTTACTTTTTGATCAAATAACTGCAGCCTTGGTGAGCAAGACTTTCAAAAACATTTAAATTAAAAATCTTGTTGAACCCAAACTTTTGAACAGTAGTGTAAAAATATGTATAATAAAAAGGGTGAAGTAATTACTCACCAAAGTACTGGAACAAAATGCATGTTGTGAGGACAATGTGACCATATACCATTATGCTTTTAATATTTTGTTGTCCTTGCGCTGAGATAAGGAACAGCTCATAACTGGTCAGCTCTAAATAACAGAAAGCACAACAATGTCCAGAATGTGCTTGCAAAAAGGGGAGGTAGGTGTGGCTAAACACTACTTATTGTTCTTCACTAAAGCAGCTTTTTCTTAAAAATAGTTTGAAAAACCACACTTGCAACAAAAGTTGCACATTCAACAGCCGTCTTCTAAGACAACCAATATTATTCTGAAAAAATATATTAATTTTATATTTACTTCTAAAGCAATTTAGGTTCACATGATATTATCAAGAGAAAAAAAATTATTTCTGTTATGGCCATAACAGAAATCGGGGGCTCGTCCGGGATCACAACCCAAGACCTCAAAAGTAAGTTAAAAAAAGTAAGTTACAAAGTAAGTTAAAAAAGAAAAATATGGCAGCCAAAATAAAGTGTCTGGTTCTAATATTTAAGATACTGGTTGTTAATAAAGTTTGTTTAATGCAGGGCCAATCAAATTGAAGAGTTGTGCTAGTTGTACTCTTTAAAAAATGTTGAACAATGTTTTACAATGCAATTTTGTACTGGTTTAATAAGCAGAACATTATGGTAAGCGATCAAAACAAGTACCACCACTTGAACACTTGAACCTCACTGAGGCATTTTCCACTTTGAGCCTGTTTCCTACTTCTCTGCTTCCATCATGTGGACAGTTACTGTATGCTTTCAATTCCATATAATGGCAATTTGAAAATAACAAAATTAGTGGAAAAGTCCTAATTACAGAGTAAACAATATCTTCAACCTGAATATTCACAATAACATTCAGCATTAACACTAATATAAAAAATGATAAAACATTGCTACCAATATTCAAGTCATTAAACAACAAGGCTAGTTTTTCGTACATCATGAACACATGAATGAACAAATGGACACTTCCATGTAACTTTCATAATCAAATGTTATACAAATTAAGAGTCCTTCCTGCTCAAGTAAATAAGCATGGCAGATACTGGCATTTCTTTCTTTTACACTCTACATCATAAGACATTTTAAGACAGCATTTTCATGGGCTTTCATTTTATTTTCTTCTTTACAGTCATCCCTCAAACTCCTCTGAATGATCAGAAAATGTTACATTTGAAATAAAACCTGCTCTGTTTCAGAAATCTGTCAACTGCTTGACAGGAAAATTGAAAACTCCTGAGAGAAACGGTGGCACAAGAGGCACAAGAAAAGCTGATGCTAAAGATTATTGTCATAAATTTAACTGAATGTCTAAATAACTGGACAAATCTGAATCCATAAACACAACTGTTACAAAAAAGTGGACATCTGCATCCCATCAAAATGTATAACACACTGTAAAACTGACAAAATAAATGAAAAAATACTGTTCTCGGTCAGTGTAACGGTTTGAAAAGATGACGAGAAGAACTTCACAGAGTGTTTAGGCATCAAATTAAGCTCATACAAAAAAATGTAATACTTTAGAAAACAAATCAAAGGTGATTTTTGACATGTAACAATTTTTTACTGTACTTGAATCTGTATAAAACGTTTGCCAAATTTGTCATTTATCGCCACATTTGTCGAAACCCTTCCCCACGTACATTTGGCTAGTCGTTAGCACATT